AACAGGAACTATTCGAGAACAAACTTAGGCGTTGTGCCACCAATGGCGCCACTGTCAATCAATTACCGGCATTTTAATTATTTGCTTATTGTAACTTCTACTAATGAATTTTAATCTCCCAGTGTTTGTTTTATGACTACAAGTTTATTATTAAACGGAATAAAATAGATTATATAAGTATTTTTTTACTTTTTCTGTAATGTCGATAATTTTAGTTCCACCTTCTCACCGCTAGGTGGTTATAGCGTCGCTTGCCACGATTTTGACCATTCCCCTAACAAAACAATATTGTTTACATTCTCAGATAATTTATTTGTAAAAATGTCATCAGTTAATGACACAGACGATAAAGGATTAGAAGATCCTATTAGATGCATATTTTTTTCAGAATTTCATCATATAGTGGGTCCAAAAATTACTTGTCAGGTTAATAAAAATTGGAAACGATCTATTTGATCTATCAAGGGGTGAAATGTAAATACAACTCAATTATTTTTCAGGTACCAGATAATTTTATTTCAAAGGATATCTTTGATAATGTCAGTGTTTACATTATACCAAAGGCACAATTACAACGTAGCACTATAACAGTGTAAGTGTAGCTTTTAATTGAAAAAACTGTCTATGTACAAATTTATGAAAGGTTTCGTTTTATCGCAGAACATTGAAGGATTGTAAGATTTTAGGATTTCCTGTAAAAATTGATGATAAGAAATATGCAAGAAATGCATTCTATTTTAATCTGTGCTTTGTCTGCGATGCAGAAGCACGTACTGTGCATTATGAACCTGTTGTTAGGAAAATGTCAGATTTCCTAGTAAGACTTCAGACATTTAAAGTAGTAAGAGCAACCTTGATACTGTTTTTCTAACAATTTTCACTTTTTTTTTTAGATGGCCCTTGAAATAGAAAATTGTTTCTTATCAAAATCTGATGATAAGACAAGGTTAGCAGAAATGTTGCAGCAAGTAATGCAAGACTTAAACTTGCACAAGATGTGCACATTAACAGGTAGGAACAATTTGCAACTATTAACTTTTAATAGATGTGCTAAAGGTACGAATAAATATTTTATTAGAGGGGACAATGACATCCCACTTGAAAGTCATAAAGTTAGCACCTGAGCCAAAACCAGTTCTTGATCATCAGGTACCCATATTTTTGGAGGGCCGTGAAGCATTTCAAAGCGATCAATGGGATCTGACTACTCAACAAGTATTGCCTTATATAGATGGGTTCAATCATGTTGCACGAATAGCAGCTGAGGCAGATGTGGAAAACAACCTGGTTAAAAGCTGCGTGCAAAACCTTGTGTAAGTTTCTGGACATAAAATTTGTTGTTTAAATATAGAACCATTATAATATATTCTTGATATATTTTCAGTTATTACGGCGTTGTAACATTGATTCCGATATTTCAATACAGTAATGTTTATGCTGCAACTCCTAAATTAAAAGAGCTAGCTGAAAACACAAAGTTACAAGGACGATGTATCGCGTATGCTTCGAAATTTCGTAAGTTCGCAATTTCGGTCAGATCTGAAAGAATATTTCTATTAGAAATTACAATAAAATTTATAAAAAATTCTCTGTTTCATAGCTAGACAACCCGCGTATCTTAGAGACATATGTCGAATGTACGCGAATATGACGCACGGCAGCAGCATGAGAGACCTATGTCAGCGACTCAATCCGCAAAATTTAAGAATAAACGAGAGAAGACTGGTACAATTCGGCCTTATCGAAGGCCTCATTCGTAGGGTATACAAGGTATGTTTGTCATTTTTTGGATAAAATGTTGCTATATTTCATGACAAGTTTTTTTTTTTATCTATGGTTACAGTATCCAATATATCTGACGGGATCTCCCTGTAACGAAGAGATTAAGACTAACCCAATTTATAAGTACTTCACGGGAACGTACAGTCTCGACGAAATTTGTTGTAGTACGAGTCAGTCGGCGGCACAAATCGAAGACATCGTTGAACGCGATCCAAATGTTGTTATGTTATGGAAGTAAAATAAAAAAAAAAAAATGTTTTGTGGATCTTTCCCTTCTTCGCTTTCGATAAACGCGAAATGGTTTTGTGTTACCGCGAACTAATCCGATCATTGTATATTTTCGATCATTCGTTTTACTTCGTTAATGTACATTTCAGGTACTTTGTTGTGTCTCATTTCGTCGCACTTCTTCTGCATTGCTTCGCGCAATGTCTTCTTACGCATTTCGGCTTCTGTTCGAATCGCCAGACCTTCTTCGAACATTTTCTTCCTGGCCTCGATGCGTTCCTTTTCCTTCTCGTTTACCTTGCGAAAATAATAGAACGAAAATTAATATGATTTTGCTGTAATAAATGTTTCGCGAATTATTTTCTCGATGTATACGAAGGAGTTAGAATATAAGTTAGTTTCAAACGAAAACAAACCTGTTTCAATATTTCGCTCCTATGAATTAAAGCTAGTCGTTGTTTCCTTTCGAGTTCTTTTTGATCTCTACAAAAAGCTTCCTTCTGAACGCGAACAATTTTCTCGAACTCGCGTCGCTCTCGTTCTAACTCGATCGCCTGCATTACTCGCTTATTATTTATTTGTCTTTCTCGTTCGTCTATGAGAGATTGTTGAGCTTCCGCTCTTTTCATTGCCTCTTCCTTTTCCTTTCGTCTCCACTCCCGTTCTACTTCCTCTTGAATTCGCGCAGCGTTCAATTCATCGATACGCGACTGCAAAAATAAAAGTCGTTATTAAAGGAAATTCCACAGTTAATCAACTGATAATTCTATTAATCGAACAGTTTGATACTTGAATATTCTTGAATTGTATCGCTTGAGTCGCCACTCTCGATTTCTCCCCTTCCTTTACTAATTTTTCCAATCTTCGTTCTTCCGCCAATTTTTTTTCTCTTTCCTCCTTCTGTCGTTGATACTCCTGGATTCTACATAAAAAACGTTCGATAACTTAATTATCGATTAGAATCTCAACGATGACTTTTACCTAAGATCGATGATTTTATTTTCCTGTTCTTCCATAGCCTTAAAATGTTTCAACTGCTCGTTTCCTTCGGCAATTTCCTGTCGAATTCGTGCATTTTCCGATTCCCTGTTATGTAATTTTGCAATTTCATCTTGCTGCCAAGCAACATTACTTAAATTAATTAATCTGCTTTCTTCTTGCTTCCTCGCAAATTCCAACATTCTATTCTCCTCGTTCTCCCTTATCTGATCTTTTAATCTATTCGCGAATTCTAGTTTCCGCGCGGCTTCTTCCTCTTCTTTCTTAAGTTCCTCTTTGATTGCCCACCTTCTCTCATTTTCCATCATATCATTCAGACGTTTTTCCTCTTCCTCCAACTCAAGTTCGACCAATTTCTTCTCTGCTATCTGGAATATAGTCGCAATTAGCGTTTTAAAAAACGTAGAAGCACAGAACGAAACTTCTTTTATACAGCATATATCACCTGTGCATCTCGAATGGCACGACACTTAGTTTCTAAAATAATTTTGTTGCATTTCTGAATTTCTTCTTCTTGCTCGAGTTTCATATTTTGCGCTCTCTCGAGAATATGCTTCGTTCTTTTCCTAGCTTCCTCTTCAATTTCAACCAATTCCGGACATTTTTCTCGAGGCTGTTGCATATCGATTCTACGAAATTCTTCTTTTCTCTCCATGCTTTCCTTTAACAGTCTTTGCCTTTCTTCTTTCTCTGCTTGAAAAGCAGCTATTTGTTCCTCCTTTGTCATAAGACTACCGCATTCTCGAAATTCATTATATTCTTTCCTTGTTAGAATTTTTTGAGGTGGTATCCTTTTCTTAGGAATCACTTTCATTCTTCCCCCTCTACTTTTAACTCCTCTCTCATCCAACTGCACATGTGGTAAATACAATAAAATAAATAGTATTTTAATAGTAATTCAAACGTTCTAAACGTAACGCTGAAATCGTTACCTGTCTTCCAGTGCACGAAGAACAGCAATGTTTCGAATAATTTTGTTTGCATTGGCTGGCGCTGGTGCACACATTTTTTTGCGAACTCGAGCATACTTGATCCGCGGATTTCGAATTTCTCTGATACTTCGTATTACTGTGCGATGATCTACAAACAGTGTTCGCCTTAAACATGTCGTTAACTTTATGTACCACCATTTGAAAGGCACTGTTCTCTTTCCGCGGTTGTTACACTTTCTACGAACGTCAATTTACGATATAAACTATATAGATGTATAAAAAAAAAAAAAAAACGTTTAGATATTTTGTATCGTTGTTGAGAATATCAATGATAGAAAAATAGGGTTGGATTGAACAGGACGTAGAAGTCTACTGAAGTATACTGTTTACAAACGATAACGGGCGATCGCTACGTGCTCGTTTGTTCGATAGTAATTACTCGGCGGCGAGTTCTGATCATTTTACAAAAAGCCAGCCTTTCATTTAAATATTAAGATGTAATGTAAATATTAAATAATATCGTTACCGATCCTCGATAAGAAATATTTCGTTTCGCGTGCAAATCGAGGAATAGGTGTAATTTTATTTTATTCTTCAGGCTGCAAAGGGCTGTCTAGTCTAAGCCGCGACGATGGGGTGATTCACCCCTTTTGTTCGTGTTGCGATCGTCGCCGAGTTTCTTCCCTACGTCAGCTTTCCTCGGCTGGGAAAATGCACATATGACTATGTGTTCGTCTCTCCTAAGTGTTCGCAAGTTAAATGTATGATTTACATATATATAACGGGACAATGAGCCCTCGTATTAACTCTTACGCCCCGTGGAGGTCTGCTTATTTTATAACATTAAACACGAATTTCACACTTGTAGCTGTTTTATTATAGATACGTAATTACAGCAGGCGTCGCTGCTATTTTATAAAATACGAATGTTTCATGGGTCGTCGTAAGCGATACGCAACGTAACGTTTATTCGGCGTATCGATTTAGCCAGGCAGAACTTTTGCATTTAAGTATTAAACAGTGTCCGAAGAATGAAAAAGACGATCGATACCGACCATGCATTTTACAAGAGCGAGTTAAATATAACTCCAGACGCCGTATCGAGATACCAATGTTAAATAAATTCGAAGCAAATATAGCAGTGTTTACAGTGGCAATTATAGCACGTGATAGCATAGTATACAGATAGAATACAATTGTAGTCAGCTAAGGTGTACATTTATGTCCTCTATTCTATATGAATATTAGACAATATTTTTTAAAATATCTATACATTAAAGTTTCAGCAATCGCGTATACGTTGGCTATATTTTTAAAAGGACCCAAATCAGAGATCGAGATGTATATCATTTTACATAATGTACCTTATTAGCCGTGTTTTTAATTAGTAATACGTCCCGGAATAACCATTTTTATTTCGATACCAGCAAAGCACCATCTTTAAGAATGGAAACAAGCGTGGTAAGCGTTAGCAAAGGGACAGAATTTATCGTTTTTTCCCTTGCTGGGTTGCTGGCGAACATTGCAACCCCGAGCTGCGCCAAACAACTGCGTTCTAGTCGGCCAATTGCGAAGGGTTTCCCTAATAAGAACTTTTCTAGAAGAGGGAACACAAGCATACGCGCGAGATTCCTTGGTTTCTGTCCTTACACTTTACACGCGACATCGTCTAAAACCGCTCTGCGGGATATGCCAATCGGGACAGTTCAATCTCGATGGTAGCTTTCTATATTTTAAGATACGAGTTTCTTATTTTGCTGAAAGACAATTTTTATTCAATTTTCACAGTCGTTCTTCACACACATTCTTTTATCAAGACACCACTCTATTCGCTTTCGCGAGTTCCCGAGAGCATGTTTCGCAAAACACTCAAAGTTGTTATCTGCGTTGAATAACGTTATTCATTTTTATTTCTGATTGCATTTCGCACATGCTTCTTCTTTTTTGGGATCAACTACTTGCGATGCTTCAAATTCTCCGTGAAACTTGTACAAGATAATTCTGAATTGAACAGAACTTATTTTTGTATCGTAGACTTCTAGTATTCTAGAATCGATCATGTATCCTCTCGCAAGTGAAAACAGTGAATTCAGCGCTAAAGTTATTTGGTGGATTTCGTGAGTGTGAAAAAGGGGAATCGATATAAAATCTTAGCTCATCGCCAACGCTGCCTTCGAACAAATTATAACGTCGTCGAGTGTGTGTGTGTGTGAAAAAAAAAAAAAAAAAAAAATGAAAGAACGCGATATTAACCGATCGATCGATCCGTCGCAAAAGCACAAAGGAAGATCGAAGAAGTACAAGTCGCCAACGAGATTGTTCGATCTGAATTGCTGGCCGAAGGTAATGATATCCCGCGACAATAGAATTTGTAAGAAAACCGACGAATCTTCGGGAACCACCTCCTTATCGTTTTCTGAATCACATTCGAGTAAAGCGCAGGCCGAAGAAGAGGAAGAAGACGACGATTTCGAAGAAGAGAAAGACGATGAGGACGAAGACGAATACGAAGAAGAAGAAGAAGAAGAAGTAGGAAAAGATGAAGAAGTCAGCTGCGACGTGCAACACTTGTGTTGCGAGGAATATGGCACGAGTTTCGAGGAGGAACAGGGAGTCTGTTTGATCAGTAGCTCCAGCGAGATTCAAGAAGCCCTACGAACACGGGAAAGTACGCCAGAAAATGTAAAAGGCTCGAAGAGGCTCAACGAAAGTGGCCTACACTGTCCGATGATGAAAAGTGTCCACCAGGACAGACCCATTTTCGTCGATCTGACGGCTGACGAGAAGAATACGTGGAAACAGACCATACTAAAACGGTTTTGCGACGTGAACACGTTGAACAGGGTAGACCAAGGAGAGGGTGAATCTGCAAACGTTACCATAGGTACAACATTTATTTTATATTATCTCTAACTTACTAATTACGAATACTGTTCCAGAACCACGAATCATGATAGCAGACAGTTCCAGCAAACTGAACTGTAAGGGAAGCGCCAGCTTGGCAACTGCCCTACGGGATCGTGGACAATGTTTGATACCGATGCAACCGAACCGTTCTCTGCCGATTCGTCCGGCTCCACCTGTGCCTACCAGATCCTTTCGCATGGACTGTTCGTCGCTGCTGTTTCTATCCAAGCCCATCAATCTGGACATCGTCGAAGTGGAGCCAGTAACCTCGATCAATATGTTATCAAACGAGGAGGCTTGCAAAAGCGTAGACGTTAATCCTAACGAAACACTCGCCGTAAAAGAGTTCGCGAGTTCTCAAGGTTACGTAATTCCCCAAATTTCCAGCGTAGAAAGTCTGCGCGGAGTGAAACGAAAAATCAACGACGACATGGATTACGAGAAGGATGTTATCAAGGAGAACAGAAAGAAGAAACGATCGCATGAAGCAGATTCCAGTCAGAACAGAGACGAATGCGCGGAGAGCACCATCAAGGAATTTTTAACAAATTTCTGTGGCTCGAACGAGACAGGGGAAGCACAGACCACATGCAGCGACAAGTGTGTCAGAGTTGTGTCAACAACTAAGGAAGGAAGCGGGGGTAAAGTGGTACCCCCATTGAGATTGAAGAAAGTCGTTCCTACAGGTAACGACGATAGTAAGTGGATAAATAATATTGCACATCGCACTCTGCTTAATTAACCCCTTTCAGCTTCGACTAACAACCGAAAATATATCTTTTCTATTAACAGAGGCAGATAGATACAACAACTCTCAGACAACCACAAGGGCGGAACAGGAATCGAATTACAGAATTATTACAGGCACGACCCCGCGACCAGAATCGAGCACGGTAGCCAGCAGTTGTTGGAACGACATGGCCTATGAAAAGAAAACGAATCTCGCGTGCTTGAAAACTGATAGCTACAAGTTGAAGTATCGGCGAAACAAGTTGAAGCAAAAACTTCGCGAACTGCGCAACAAGGCTCTGGAGCTGGCCAAGCAGATGGCTAACGATTCCAGCTTCCAACGGAACACAAGGTTGAGACAAGTGATGAATCGCTACGAAAAACAGATAGAGAACTTGTCCAAGTTGCACAGCAAACTATCCACAACGATTCCCATCTCCAACGAAGTGGTCGACGTGAACGATAACGACGGATGTACGATCGATGACGAATATCTTCTTGGAAACTTAAACGAAGAAAGCAAGGAATCGTTGAAAAACAGCGTCCCAGCCGCATCACCCGAGCCGCCAAAATTGTCACCGCGATCGCCGTCTAATTATGAGAATCTGCTGCCTGGAGAAATTAGGAACAGTCCACCGACCCTGCCAAGAGTGTGTCTCTCTATTTCGTCGAGTCAGAACTCGGTCGACGAAGATCTCCAGAACTCGGAGAGTAAAGTCTGGCCCATAATCGAAGACTCGACGAAATCAACGATTTCAGCAGGCATAACAGATTCTCCTGTTCGGTGTAATACCACGGAGGAAGGTCCCGCGGATCTCGAGGAGTGCATGGAAACGAGACAGCAAAATAAAATGAACGTTGACGAGGAAGATTTCAACGTCACTAATATATCCTTAAATCGTAGCGAGAAACCAACTCAATTCTTTGATAGTAATCGTATAGATCTGGAAAAGAAGAAAGAAAATAAGAAAATGACGGACGAGACTCCATCGGATCGTCTGATGGTCCAGGAATTAGAGAAAATCAGATGTCGTGGATTTTCTGCGTCTATGCCTGTTATAAGTTCTGTCACGGGTGGTCTGCAAGTAACAGCGAGCGTTCCAGCTAAAAAAATGTTTCAGTCACCGTCTGACAAACAACTTGCTTTGCCAGAAGAACACGTCGCGCAATCTACTTCTTACGAACCCAGTCGAAACGATGTTTCGGCTGCGAAAGTCAACGAAATCAGTCAAAATGTACAAATGATTTGTAGAATAGCATTTATCCAGGCGCTTATTATTATTTATCCTGATGTTTAATTGGAAATTCCTTTTGGTTCAGGTTACATCGAGCTCAAGTCAGTCGATACAACTCAACTCCATAGGGACAATGTCAAAACAGGAGCATTTTAAGTAAGTTAAAAAATTACTCGTACTTTCTTATCGAAACTTTTACGTATGTCCCGTGTACCAACAACAGGTCGCAACAAAACTGTAAGGGAGAAAAATTTCCAAACGATTCTACCCAGATGAGTTCCAACAGTCAATCGATAACCGAACAATTTCCAACTCTCGGTAACTGGTTGGCACGAATGTCTAAGAAACAAACTTTAAAAACCAAATCCAAGTTACAAACTGTGGAAAACGTTTCTTTTTCATCGACGGAGAAAGCTTCTTGTGTAAGAGGAACTTTTTTTAATGAAATTAATTGCTGAACGATTTATTCGATTATCCCAAAAGATTTTTTTACTTACATATTAACTATAAAAAATTTTATGAACGGTACAACGACAGATTCCTGAGCCCGAAGTGCCAAAGATAACTGGGCCTAATACAACTAACAATATACTAAACACAACGCCTCAATGCAGTACAGACAGGTGGCAATATTACCAACACCAACGACAACAACGACAACAACGACAACAACAACAAGAACAACTACTGCAACACGTCGCTGCGTCTGTAACTCTTCCGCAACCAGTTCCATCGGTACCACCTATACGTCCCAGCATCTGTTCACCCATCCCTATGAACCAGTTTTACCCAAACAACTATGCTGTAAGTAACGCTTATCGCGTCCACCTTCAGGGTGACAGGATACAAGTAAACTAACCACTTTACTCTTTACACTCAACAGTGCTAGTCTCACCGAAAACTGACAAAATTATGTTTATCCTAAAGTGCTACAATCAATAATAATTTCTTCAATTACAGATCGATCCTTACAATGGTGTCGCTCTAAATTATCATCCACCTCTGTGCCCTTATGGTACTTATCCGTACCCTCCTCGGCTACATCCGTCTCTACCGGGATACCATCTACCTATGCAAGAAAGCCTGCGCCCTTTGCAACACATGGACAAGCGTTTCCCACTGGTACAAGACCCAATGGTGAAATACACATCTCCAACGACGAGCAACCTGCAACATCCAAACAACATGGGCTTCGATCGGCTACGAGGAAGCTCTGCTGCTAGTAACTCTAACGCGGGGACCTGTCTACCACCGCTCTTCTTGCCGTCATCGTCTTTACCCACGTCGCAACAGACTTTACCGCGATCATCGATGTCCGGCTTTTCAACGAACAACCAGTACTCTCAGAACAGGATGTTTCCAGATGTTGTTGCAGCCGCAGCTGCCGCCGCCGTTGTTGCTGCTGCTTCTTTCGACAGACAACGCGACACATTAACTTCTAACAGAGCCAGCACGGACGGATTACAAGCCACTGGTCTGACAAACGTGATGAACGGACAGCCTCCTCACGTGGCAAGTTCTAGTAAAAAGGTCGTCAATCAAGATACGATTAATCAAACGCAAGATACCAATTTCGGTGAAGAAGGCCACGACAACACCGCCAAGTATCAACAGATGCAGAATTTCCTATTCGATCGACTGACGTTTGTCAAGACCGGTGATAATTTCACGCAACCAAACTCGATTGCTAGCGGTGACATGCAGGCGGCAATGTCATCTATCGTTTCAACGACTCCATATCGGGTGGCTTCGGTGTCATCGCACGCCCAATTGCCAAAGAACACCTCAGGAAACCAGTTTAGGAATTGCAAAACGCCCCATCTCGGTAAAGTGAACCGCAGCCCAAACAACTTGCATAGTCTTTCATGTTCAAATTGCGGCGTTATCGGGCCGAAGTTCAAGTGTCTCGGATGCGAGATAATTTTTTACTGTGATGAACGGTGCCAAGAAAAGCATTGGAATGTACACATGCAATGGTGTCCGAAGAAAATGCCAAAATTAAAAAAAGTCACTTGAATAATAAGCGTCAAGTCCGAATCTAGGTGCGGTTTATTTTCAATAATTTATATACCCGCGTTTCGAAAATTATATTTATTCGTCGCAACAGTAATTCCCGCTTTTAAGTGACAAAAAATCAATTACCAATTCACTTATCTGCCAAAAAAAATTAATAGAATATTGCGTATGTATTCTATATGCTTAAGTCATTTGTGTCTGCATTGTTTAGATGTATTTACGAACATAAGTATAGACGTAAAAATGCACTAAAAAGCAATGCAATTGATGATGTGATAATCTTGTGCCTTATTTTTTTAGACCTCACAGGTAGTTTTATTATCAGTGTTTATGAAAGAGTGCTATATATATTTTTATAAAAATTGTATCACGTGATATATCGACGCTTGACGACGTACTGTATGACAAATAGGGTGTAACGAAGTTTAAAATGCACAAAGTCTTAAAGTTTTAATATTTTTATACCGCTGTGTGATACTTGAATAAATCATCATTTATAAATGATCTTCAAATAAAAATATTTATTTATCAAAAAATATTGTTCTATGCACAAATACTTCTAATATGTAAAATTTTATATATATAAATGTATATGTATTTGTTTACCTGTCCACTTATTTATATTATATATTAAAACTTGCTTTTTAACATGCCCTCTTCTGTTTTCTTTACCAGCTTATCCAACAACATATGGGCTTCTTGGTAATGAGGACTTGTTTCATCTGCAACTCTTTTCATCCAAGCAGCTAATCGTGATCTGCCTTCATAGGGATTGAATCCAGTAACTCCTGTATAAGAAGTCAAACTATTATGAATAATTCATTTTTGGATGTTGCAGGTGCTATCTTCTTGGAATAGAACTGTACTTACGGAGTTGTTCAATCTCACACGAGCCAAGAATGTCAGCGATACTGATTTCAGAGCCCACTAAATATGGCGTATTATTTAACCAAATCTTCTCTAAATCATTGAGACATTTAATTAATTGTTTTTCGTAAGACACTATTTTTTCAGGCACTGCTGGTTGGCCAGTTATCATTGGCATCAAATACTAAAATAAAAGTGTAATTTAAAAATTTTAAAAGAATGTCATTGTCAAATGATCTGTATACATTGTGAAATATTCTGTCACCTTTTGGCGAAAATAGGAGGCACAATGAAGTCTGGTATTGAGGTGATGCCACTCAAGGTATTCATCAACTTTGACCTGGGACTTTGAATCCTTGGGATACCAATGATCGGGTGTATTAAATTCTCTGGTGATATATCTTAATATTGCACCACTATAAAAGATTTAATATATATTACATCGAGTAAAATGTCAATAGGTATAAAAATTTAAATAATAAAAAACTGTACCTTTCAAAGACTTTGAAACCATTGTGGTCTATAGCAGGAACTTGCTGAAACGGATGAATCTTTTGGTAGTCTTCAGTAAGATGCTGCATTTTACCCAAATTTATTATTTTACTTTCAAATGGTACATTGCAAACTTTCAAAAAAATATATAAAGCTCTACTTGGCTGTGATAATAAATCAATATATAATTTTAAGCTCATGGTGATAATGTATAAATTATTTAATAATATGTAGGTTAGAATACGAAGTCCTGAAAATAAAATACTTAAAATACAAAATAATTGCGTTGCAGTCTTGTTTACAAGAATTTTCATGTTCTTAAATTTAAATATTACTCTCAGATATTGCTTTCAAACGTTTCTATAGCTTTACCTATATGTTATTTATTTGATCGGTTTATAGTTCATAACTTTAAATGGAAATCATATCTAAGTGGACTCTTCCTTTGACGGTAAATTACACAAATTTTTATATTTTTATTATATTCATAATTGTGCAAAGTCATCGTATTCGTAATCATTCATAATTCTACGAACCACCGTCAGATGTGATACGAGGTGATACTAATTTTATTAATTTCTCGCAAGTGTTCGTTTCATGTCTTATTCCTATATACATATATTTGATGTGACACGACAATTGAATTCAGTGTTTTGCCTCCGATTTAATTTACATCTCGCTAAATCTTTGTTACAAAAGTTTCTTACGATATGGTCGCTGAACATTATATAATATATAATATACTAATTCGTTTCGTAAATTATCGTCAAATACTTCGAATGAAATGTCTAACTTTCGACGTATCATGTACGAAATGGCACGAATTGTATTAGCTACTTCTATCAAATCAGATTCATATCGTAGACTTAACTTAATTTTACGTAACGTCAAAAGTAAATAATACTACATTTGTTGGCTTGCTTTTTAACATCTGATATGCTTAGCTACTCTGCGCGGATTTTAAATTGAAATTAGAAATATCTCGCGATGATAACAATTTATCTATTTAAGACCGATGAAATCCACGCCGGAAAATATGACGGAATTTATCCTTCCTATCCAAGTGATGGTATAGTTCGTTTGTGGAAAGGCTTACAAATGAAGTATCTAAAGAGAACGTAGAAATTGGAGATAAAAACTATTTAAGATTTGACAAGTAAAGTCGATTAACTAACGAGAAACACGTAGAGGCAGCACCCGGGGTGAAAAAATGGCCGACTGCGAGAAGGAGGAGGCTCACAATCTCGTAAGTTATTTGCCTTTGCCTACCGTTTATCTAATCATTTAGGCGACCTCGACATTTCGCGGTCCACGATGATAGTGCACCTTATCTATCGTTCAACTAATTAACTTACACCCGCTATACTTGTCGAAGAAGATCTTTTTGGTTATGTTATCTTCAGTAGATCATTATTTTATTTTCTGACACATCCGTTTCTCTTTTTAAGCGTACAATTCTTGTGCATGTCCCACAAGAAAAAGATTAATTTAATTCTAACTTGAAAATGTTAAATCACGCGTATTAATTATTTGGCTAGCATCTAATTACTATCACGAAACTTGTATAGTTTGTTAAACGTATGTAAATAACGATCGTAGAATAACAGCACATATGTAGATAAGTATCTTGACACCTGTACATAGAATGTTATATTAATTCGATTATAAAATTCTTTCAGCAAATGGAATTCGAATGGGTGCTCCACGAGGAAGTTCATTCTTCGCTATCACAACTGAGAAATATTTTAATGGTAATATAAAAAAAATCCTTTTTTTATATTACCATTAAAATATAAAAATTCTTACAGGAATGCGCACAAAGATTTCCATTAGCCTTATTTGGTAATGATCAACACAATAAAACAGATAGGTTTATATTTGCTGCTCCACATGATCAAGTGAAATGTATAGCTGTTTTAACTGGTGATAGCATTACAAATGCTGTAAGTAGTAATTATATATTCGATTTGTATATAATTATTTAATTAATAAAATGATTATAGGATGTAAACTTTAAAGTTCAAAGACAACAAAATATTAATATGAAGACAAGTATCCAAAATGAGCATCCTTGGAAATTACAGCAAATACAGGATGCTGCTAATCACTTACAGCAAGCCATTGCTCATATAGACAATGTTGATCACCACTACCCTTTTAAAACATCCGATGAAGTTATGCACATTTTAGGAAACATACTAGGCTGTCTTCAACGTAGTAGAACAAGTTTAATTGTTCCCAGAAAGAAAACCATTGACGATCTTATTAAGAGCCGTAATATGGTAGGCAAACCAATTCTTGATTTACACAAATAAATACATATATATATATATATGTATGCAATTGTGACACAACATTTTTTTCCACAGAAGTCTTTGAATCCAAATCTTCCTGAAAATTTGGCTATTAGTTTTTATATTCAGAGTTACAAACTGGTACTGGCAGTTTATCAACTAGAAAATGCACACGGCAGCGTTAAATACGAGACTCAACAAGCGGAATGCAGTGTACCCTGGTTAAACGACGCTCTAGTATTGCTGACCATAGCGCTACAGCTTTGCCAGCGGTTAAAAGACAAGGTTGGTTTGAACGCCGCTATTCTGAATTTTCCTATCTCATTTCAAACACTTTTCAGATCTGTGTTTTCTCTCAATATAAAGATTTTACGGTGAACTCTCACGTTCCATCTGCAGTGGGTTGGTAATAAAAGTATATTTAAAAAGCTACACAGCTCTGTGTAAATGTGTGCCACAGTATGCCATGGTGAATGCTCTGGTAGCATTTTCGGTGAATGTTGCTTTAACAAATCAAATTTAACCCTCGGTATGTAGAGATATCTATAGTATTTTAGAGAATTCTTTAAATTATGTATATACACTTTATTTAGTATCTCGAATGTCGAGGTAAAATTTTGCCTAGAATAAATAATTCTTGTACAATGGTACAAGTTCTAAGACTTCATTGTCGTTTAATATAAATGCAGTAATTCTAAAAGAATTTTGCCAATAATAATTGTGTTTACAACTATGTTGTATTATATGCGTTCGATAATACTTTTTTTTTTAGTTTTATTCGAAGATCTTTAATCTAGCAAGATTAGTCGTAAATCGTTACTGAATCGTCGAGTTGAATAGTAAAGTAATATATTTACTATATTTCTGTGATCATTCGGAATGTTACAGCAATGCTTTCCTTACTAGGTTTTAACATCTTGTTTCTAGAGTAATGTATGTGAGATTTGAAGTCTTTATTTATAATTGTCTTGTATAATCAATTTTTAATCATCTCAATCGATTATTTATTTTAATCACCAAAGAAAATAATATTTCATAAGCGTCGATCCTTATTGTCATGGTATGACGTTCCTTTCATCATACTGTATCTACATTTACACACAGATGAACTCGATTATCTTATTATTAATTAGACGTACTATGCGAACTATAGACCAGACATTAATGTAATTGTTGTTGATCAATGTTATCGATATTTATGAAGATACGGCTCAGAGTTAGTAATTTATAGGAATTTAAATGCAATTGTATTAAATATGTAGGATTACCTTAAAATAACACTAGAATCGTGCGATTTCTCGCGTCGATTCGGATGGAAGGTATTTACGTTTTTTTTTTTTTTTTTTTTTTTGTAAAAAAATAAAACTATATTTCAATGTCATGTAGTTTGCAGACTCCTGGTTTAGAGTATTTCTCTTGAGTTTTTAAGATTGTATCGTGTACTTATAAATTACGTTTTACCGACACCATTATACAAATTACATGTTATTTATAATTACTTGTTATTTTAAATACCTTGAGTGTAATACAAGGTGGTACTTAAGTGGTTATTGTTACGATAGTTTGATGAAATGCACCGCTTATTCTGTTCATTTTGTGTTCTTTAATAAAAATAGAATTAACTGTTAATGTATGTCAAAAATAATTTATATCTTAGGTAATTATACTTGTTAGGACAGCAACGCAAATAAGTAAACGATATGCTAGTACGTGATTTGGAGTACCTTGTATTTAGAAACAATAAAATAAAAGCTTACTAAATAATAAATAATACCATCGAACAGAGTAAACACTGCCATCTAACGTTTGAACAGTGCAATAACTAGAAGTTTTTCCCCTTCAAATGGAACTGATACTACGCGTCATTGCAGATTTGATTTTGTTACTACTCCTTCCCGAAATACATGTCGCGAACGTTTGGATTCTCACAATATCTCGATAAGCTTTTACGCCCATTCCATAATTCATAGCCATCCTAATATGTAGTCATGTAATATTACACCGAAAGTACACGTGATAATATCTGTAGCTATTTCTACGATTTTACGTGTCATTCGAAAGCGTTTTTGTTGCTACGCTTTCACACAAATTCTTTATAACTTTCATTATCTTCTGCTTTAATTACAGATACTAATGCATTCTGCAAATAATTGTTTCCTTGAAAGATTCTCAACAATATGTTCGATTTCCGTATCCTCATTTTTATATAAAAAAATCTTTTACATGGGTATTTACTGAATCTTCCAAGTGGAGTACAATTGCAGTGGCTATTATACTTTGTTAGTTGCGCCGAGCACAATATGAATAAGTGTGTACGTACAAGAAAGTTTAGGTTGGGTTAGTGAAGTGACGTCAGCGCGCAGCAATTTGCGCCACTGGGATGACAAGCAGACGACGGTTTACTTTGTATGCACGTATCGTTAGTAAAATTCAAACGACTATCAGGGAAAATCGAATATAAAATCGAATTCGTGTCGACGCATCTGTGTGACAAATGAATGCGTTATATTTACGCAAAATAAAAAGATAATTTCGATGCATAGAACGACGGACAAGTAACTGTGAATGCTCAGCATTGTGTAAAATAGCGCACAAACAACATGGAAGTGCTAGATCCTAGTGTCTCAAGAGATGACCAGCCGCTCTGCATCAACGATTCCTTGGAAAAAGGTTTGTTTTTGATGATCTATCCTTCTATTTAAGAACTTGATCATTTTCATGGCGCAACATAACTTTGTCCCTTTTCCCCGTTTACGTTCACACCGCTGCTTGCGTAAACGTATATAGAAAGGCATCGTTTAGAAACAAAAGACGTGTCGAGCGACTGGCACGATTCTGTCATCTGTCAAAGATCCAGTATGTTTGGTTTTGTTTTTACTGTATCGAAAGATCTTTCGAAGCTGTCAATTTTTTATGGTTATTTTTTTTAAGAACATTTTTAAGAGCGTCACAATTACACCTGAGACTTTTAATCATTTGTATGCCATAATAAACAAGTAGGAAGATCTGCGACAAACAATGATCGGGAATCCATAAATATAATCGAGTGAAATTACGATAACGGATATTGAAAATGAAAAAGAACCAGAGATTATACAATGTATTGTCAGAGGATACATCAGGTTAACAGAAAATAACTTGACACACTGTTGGGAGCTGAGGAGTTCACATGTTCTGTTTGTAATAAGGTGAAAGAGAACATAATTAATGCTTATGCATAAGTTATTAGAGATAATAAGATTGAATACAACACTCTGTTTTTCTTACTAAATGGAGAATTTTAAAGTATATTAGTAACAAGGTTTCTCGTTTATCTTAACTCCTTGGCTTCAAACATTATTTTGCATTTATATACCAAGCAGTAGCAGTAAACTATGGATTTATGAAACATAAATATGAACAAAAAGCTGATATAATATTGACCTATTAATCTTTCATTAAACAAAACACTGAGTTATCAATTATCATATACAAACATTAGAATTCATTCTACTATTCCAGTTTCTGATTAAGAATTGTCAGAGTATAATGCATTATTTAGCAGTCTTACTATATAAAATAATGTGTTTACATATCATGTAAATTTTTTCCAGTCACTTTGTCAAATATACCACCAGATACAACATCATGGATAAAAGCAAGGCATACATTGGGTTTTTTAGGATTTCTAGGTTTTGCTCTTGTGTATGCTATGAGAGTAAATTTATCTGTGGCTATTGTTTCAATGGTTAATCAAACAGCAATTCCACATAGCGATGATAATGATACCACTGATGTTTGTCGTGATGAAAATCCCATTAATGGGACATTCATACCAGTGAGTCATTTAATATTTAATGCTTAATATATGTTTTATTATATGAATTAAGTTTAATTACAATATACAAAATTACATAATTAATTGTATATATATAATATATTGATGCAGATCAAATGTCAACATTAGCTGCATCTTTCTTATCAAAGTATTACTCATGCAAATTTATCACTTTTTATATGACCTAAGGATATGAATGTATCATGCATCACATGCCTATATCTTCTGTATTTATCTCTTAGTATATTTGCATTCTACACACTTCTACTGGGATAAAATATTTTGTCATCTCTCTTCATATTCTGCATAATTCGTAGTATTTATTAATTAATTATTATGTATTAGATTTATTTGTCAAAAATAAATTTTAATTTTTAAAGAGTGCTGGAGAATTTAATTGGGACGAAAAAACACAAGGTTTTATATTAGGTGCCTTCTTCCTGGGCTATGTAATTACAAATGTCCCAGGTGGTAGGCTGGCAGAAATTTATGGTGGAAAATTAATTTATGGATTAGGAGTATTTCTAACTGCTGTATTGACTGTAATCAGTCCTTTCGCGGCATACGTAGGTTTAGTACCATTTTTAATTGTGAGAGTAGCAGAAGGATTCACAGAGGTAAATAAAACCTTCCCCACCTTGTAAAGAAAGGAGTAATAACCATTGAAACAAAATTAATTAACTTTGTAGGGCGTTACATTCCCTGCAATGCATAGCATGCTAGCACACTGGGTACCTCCATTGGAGAGAAACAAATTTGCTGGTGTAGTATATGCAGGTAATTACTCTCTCATATTCAATGTACAATATATTTAATTTACCATATTTACTTTTTGTGTAGGTGTCAATTTTGGTACTGTTATATCCTTACCAGTAAGTGGATGGTTATGCTCGTTAGAACTTTGGGGTGGATGGCCTCTCGCATTTTATTTATTTGGAGGGCTTGGCATTGTATGGTATGCATTTTGGCTAATTTTTATATTTGACTCACCCGCGCAACATACAACCATCGACCCTCTCGAAAGGGCATATATCGAGGCTACTGCAGAAAAGACGAATGAGGTTTGTTTCTTGCTACATTAATCGTATATAGACTGTTTTATCTATTTCAATTTACTTTGCTTGTATGAAAAACAGGGCAGTCAGCCGGGAGTTCCTTGGTTATCAGTATTTACATCGCTACCGATGTGGGCGATAGCGATAACGCAATGTGGACAGGCATGGGCGTTTTACACCCTTTTGACAGAATTACCTACGTACATGGACAAAATTTTGCATTACGACGTACAACAGGACGCATTTCTTTCAGCATTGCCTTATTTAAGTTCTTGGATAGTTGGACTCTGCATTTCGAGTTTCGCGGATTTTCTTCTTGCCCGTCAGCTTTTATCTCCTTTAGCATCGTTCAAGTTATGGAACACGGTGGCTTCGTTAGGCCCTAGTCTCAGTTTTGTTGGCGCTATCTGGGCTGGATGCAATCGTTTGACCGTAATGATGATGCTTACCGTCTTAGGGTCCCTGCAAGGTGCAGTTTATGCCGGAAATCAAATGAATCACATTGCTTTGGCACCACAATACGCAGGAACACTTTACGGCCTTACGAATACTGCCGCAAATGTTTGCGGATTCTTGGCACCATATATTATCGGAAGAATGGTTCAAGGACATGTTAGTATTATGAAACGTATACTTTCCGTTATCATTGGGAATAAACTTATCGTAAGTGAATGTTTACAGGAAACGCTGGCTCGTTGGCATACAGTATTTTGGTTGGCAGCGGTAATAAACATGGCAACCAATTGTTTTTACCTGATCTTCGCATCTGCTACAGAACAACCATGGAGTAAAGGTAGAAGTTGATGACAAAACTTTATTAAACACGAAATATTTAATATGGAAAATAATTTATCGTTAGACAACATTGCGCTCAGTTCGTTTTAATTATTGATTATTATGCTATAATATTCGTCAGTTCAGCACAAATTTTTCTTTTAATTTTAAGTTTAATATAGTATCAATTTTTACGTAAATGAATAAGTAACAGCTTACAAAAATTTAATATATCAATTTAGCAATCAAATTAGCAATCAAATGTTAAATTTCCATGCATCAGTATTTGCTATTATATTATCAAAGTATTGAATGTACCTTATATGACATTCCAATGATATTATCTCATGACAATATAACCTTTGCTAATGGTGTCTAATTTTTGGCATTAAAATCGATTCTTTAATTAGTTCGAAACAAAATTAATGCTAGAAATAATTTAATTTATTTTAATCTTATGACATAGTAGTGCAAATTATAGCAAGTATTTTTCATATTTATGTAAAAATTTCATATGTAATATAAGTGTAACATGTGACATATACAAGGAGATACGATTCTTAGGCGAAATATACATATTTTTTTTATTTTTTTTCGGTAATAATGCAATAAAGTGTGATATATCTTTTATGTACACTTGTTGTCGTGATACAACATATTTTAAATCGGAAAAAATTTACATGTAAAAAATTACACAGACACATATTAACTACTTATTTACATGCAACTGTAATGTTTTCTTAAATGATCAGTATTCATTAGTAAAGTCAATTTACTAAGGATAATGAATATTTCAGTGCATGTAAAGTAAACAAATTGTATTACTACTATAATTCGAAGTACTATACTTTGACTGTAAATTACATATAAAAACGGTTTCATGTAGGTAATAGCCTACATGTAGGGTATCCTTGTAAAAAAAAAATATAAATAAAAATCATAATCAATTACGATTTTTAACATTTTTTTTTTTTTAATCGGAAATTATCAGATATAATTTTATCGAAAATACCATAGGTAAAATTATAAATTTTTAGATAGTAAAAATATTAGGAAGATTGGATTTGTAAAGGATGTAATAAATGAATTTTAATCGAACGGTATACTAGGGTTAATGTATGTACGTACAAGAATAATATAATTTATTTTTCAGTGAGTTGTATAAAAAAGTGTAAGAAATGTGGTCTGAAGGAGGCATTTTTTTTGCAATATTGCTATCAAATTGGTTTGATAATTTAAAAATGCAACGTTAACTCGTGCTTAAATCATCCTTCTTCTTAGCAGTAAGCGCGAAAATCATGTCTCGCATGCGGCTTAAATCCATCAATTCTAGTCTCATTTTCTCGATACTGGCCTCTTTCTCTGCGATATTCTGCTCATATTTATGCACTAATTGCGATAATTGTTGAGTTTCTTGTTGAAGCGCGGAAATATCTTTTTGATTCGATTGAATTTCCGTGTCTTTCAATTCTATTACCTGTTTGATACCAGATATAAGTTAGCGATTCTGTCATATTGACGCGTTAAGTTTGTACAAACCTACCTGATCTCTTTTATTAATTTGATCTTGCATTTTGTGAAGAAGTTTGTTTAACTCGTGATTCTTATTAACCATTTCCGTAGTTCTGGCATCCGCATTTACGCATTCAGTTTCTAACTCTTTTATTTTTTTAGTTAACGCTTCGACCTTATTAGTACTGCTTTCCAGTTTGTGTTTACACTGTGTTAGTAATACATTTAAATGATCGATGTTGGCAGACTTTTCTGTTACTATTTTTTTCAATGCTTCGATTTCCTATAAACGCAATTTTAATTTGAGGTTCCTTGCAAATTTCCGTGTCTACTGTTACTAATTCGTTGAAAAAAAAAACATCAACCTTATTCTTAAAAGCAACTGCTTCTCTACTTTGCTCCTCTACTTTGGCAACTTTTACCGCTAACGTAGACTTTACTCCTTCCAAACATTGCTGTGTATCAAATAGCATTTGATGTAAACGACTCGATTCGGCTACTACTTGCGCAAGTCTATGTTGTAAACTAGTCCCATGATTATTTGCTGCCTCCAAACTGGATTGCATTGCCCGTTCCGCGTGTCTCATCGCTGCTAGCTTTCATATTGGGAACAGAATATATATCAATTACGAAATTGTGTAATGTGTACACAGCTATGCAAAGAAAAACATTTTAAAACCTAACACCTCGGCGGTTTTATGATAAATCAGCAGATGGTATGATAAATTCGTCGTAACTCAGAGCTCCTGAAGGTGGCCTTGAATGCGATTTAGAAACTAAAGCTTTAAATTTCATAATAGTTTTCTTTACGTCATTGGATGACTAATTTTCTCAAAATTACGTAAATTCGTAGTTTGCTATTTTTTTGTGAAAAGCAAGCATTTATACAGGTAGTATCGTACCTTGTACTCGTACAATTCCATTACCGCTGACGTTGTAATGTCTCCCAGTTGATTAGACTCATAGGCTGTTTCTAGTTTTGCTAGAAACGTATCGAGTCGCTCTTCTTGCGCGAAAGAAAAAAGTGGAGCCATATCGCTATTCGATGTTAAGGACATTTTGCTTCCAACATTTACCATACCAGGAGTACTTTGTACTAATATCAGAGGCTCCAATTGCTTCATACATTGCGCCACCGCGAGAACACTTGTTACACAAAAACATAGGACATAATTTGCGTGCAACAGCGAATTTGATATCTGACATGTTTCTACATACAAACCTACCATTCTTGAGGAAATCCGACAGTTGGTGTTAATTGCAGAACTTTCTGTTTAATGTCTGCATCGCCAGTAAATAGCGCATGTGCCATTGTCATTTGAATCTGTTTTTTCCCTAGTAACTCGGAATACAATGTTAACCAATTCGAATGATTGGCTGCCAAATCAGCTATCAAAGCTAATATGTGAATGCATAGATTTGTGGTAGGGTTCTGGAAAAGTCCAAGTACAATTACATATGTCGCGAAAGATACTATCGCCATATAATAAGAAAGAGGAATACTTGAATAAAATTTCCTGGAAAATCATTAGTAGAACAAGTTTCGGAATTCAACATTGGACTCAATAATTTACGTATCGTATTCTCATTTAAGGACTGCATGACTTTTGCTCTAAGCGTCGTAGTTTTAACCATTTCCTGGAATAATTGCATTAATTCCGCTAATCTCGTTTCTGTTTCTAAACTTAATTCTTGTATCTCTTGAATCTCATCATTTTCTGAATTTATAATAAGCATCAAAACGGAAGCATCCAATTCTGCCAAAACTTCGGTAGAGGTTTTCGTGCGTCGCGCGTCAATTACGGTAACCCTTATCAAGCTCAATGCTTTAGAACACACCTAATTAGAAAGAGTTCATTTTCATAGTTTTTAATTTAAAAAAAAAATGCAATCTTAAAATGAAGATGTACCTGTTCTACGGGAACCCATGTCATAGCCGTTTTTACGCATAAAGGATACAAGGGTATCAAAGTAGACAATTTTAATTTCACCAGAGACGACAAAAATTCCATTATAATAGCAACACATTCTGGGTCCGCGTTGTCTTCCAATGTAACTAATATATTTTCTACATCTCTGCCATAGCTAATGAGAACAAAAAATTAAATAGCATTCCATATAACACAATATAATTACGATGAAATTATCGAATAACTCACTTTGTGTACGTAAGTAACACGCTATGGGAGTGTTCGTTTTGCGCAACATCGTTAAAAAAGTCTATGACGTGTCTCAGTAGCAGAACATCCTTTTGTTTCATTGCGGTAACGAGATTGGTGAATGTAACAGCAGCAAAATCCAGAATGTTTTTATCCGAAATATTTGTATTCGAGTGCTCTAATATAATCATAAGTTTACAGCATTGCACACTGGTATTAACATTGCAACGTTGCAGTTTTAACAACGTCCGTACAAATGTTTTTGTATTGATTGTCCTCATCAAGGTATAAACTGCCGGAAGATTTTTGTAACAAAGATTTACTAATACACCTAGCGAAAGTGCAATAATATCTTCTTCTTTAGACTGTGTTACCCACTGTGTTAATATAGATATTAAGTAAGGTAAATGAGCTTCTTGCCAAGAAATTCTAATGCCATATGTCAGTTCTTGAAGTAATTTTAATACCCTTACTCTTTTCTCGCTCGTTAAATTAGCCTGAAACATTCTCATATGAAAATACATGTATATTTGTATAAGAATGTAAATTTACCTCCAACAACCTGGCCAATATGGGTGCAAATTTGTAAGTATGAATAAGAGCTTGTCTTGCAGCAGCATTACGACAAGCATTTTGTAAAACATCTACAGCACTCCAAATCAAGGTGGTTCTAGATGCCAAAGAATTCATAAGCTCGTGTAGACTAACATAGAATTCTGCTGCCACACTTGTTCCAGGGTCAAATATGCTCAGATCCAAGGACACGCTTATTACCTTTTAAATAGAACTTTTTATTATAATAAGATAATCCTTAACTTATTTAACATAATGATGTCTGACAAAACATTTTTTATATTAATAGGTTTCTATATACATCGAATCGAGAATAAATTTAATTATTAAGATTTACTATGTAAATAGAAATGGCTGCACTTTTATGATTTCTAACAAATGTAAATAATATACTTCTGTCGTATTAATATAATAACTAACTAAATCGATGACAAACGACGAGGATCGTAACAATATAATTGATCGAAACTTACTCCCAGATTTCGTTGTAATATCGAACCGGTCGTTTCACTTGGATGTTTAGAATATTCTAATACCGCTGATATAAATGTCCTCATAAGCTGGTATTTCTCCATTGTATATATATTTAGTCAATGTCTCGCAAACAATTCTGAAATTTCCTTTGACAAACGGAGATGTCATTAAAACTAATAGAGCAGATCTCTTTCGTCAACTACGATCGTCGTGATCGAAATGTGTTGCCTTTTTCAACAAAAAATATTCGAAAAAGTAAAAAATATGTATATGCAACGCATATACAACATAAACTGTTCTTATCGGTGCATTCTGGTGGTGGTCCACGTGCGTTATTTTGACGTGTAGAAATGCATTCGCGAGATTGAGAATAAAAAGTATCGTTTCAAGGAATACCGGTATTTGGCGGCCATTCGTAAAACTTACTTTCAAATTTGACCAATTAAAAACGCGATAGAAAGTGCCGTTAATTATATGGTACGAACAAATCTCATGTTTATTAAACTTCTGTTCTAGATATAATGTTAAATTCATAAAAGATAAATTGACGTTCATAAGAGATTGTTTATGTACAATATTATTGATAAATGGACGGTTAGTTACATTACTAACTAGTATCGTTCGCCTTGTCTAAAGATGCATGTGTGTAAATAGTAACCAGCTATTTTACAATTCTATTTGCAACATAGAATAAAAAGATTAAATAATGTACTAAAAAAAGTAATCGTTTAACTTTAGGGGGAATACTTTCGAGCATGGGTCTCACAATGCATCCCTGGTCGGAGTGGCGAGTGAACGGAGCGGACCAATAGGATTCCGATTACCATACTATGTTAATCGAAAACGTGGAATTGAGTAAACGAGACCAAATGAATTGTAATAATTATTTATATAAATAAAGAGAACTATTTTTTTAATTATTTATTCGACACCCTGTTGGTTTGGATATTTTTCATTTTCTAAGGATGACCCGGTGAAAAGAAAATGATTCGCTAGAGTGACATGTAAAACTATGTTTCGATCTACCATGCGTTAAACTTTCTAACTAGGATCATCGCGGACCAATGAGAATTCTCCAAAATCACATGATTTTGTTTACACGATTCCACCTCTTCAATATAGAATACATGTTTTTAACAAAATATAAAACAATATAAACTTTAAACGATATTATTTCTATCCGAGTCACGAGATAAAAAAACGATGTAAAACGTATTACTGATCGATTCAAAAATTAGTATCGTTCGAAAACAATGCCATTGGTCGATAGCGACACCGTTCTCTGATCGTTCTCATCGAAATGCGCCATTTCCGTCTCGAGGAAAAAGAAAACGACATTGAAGAAAGGTACTCTCGAAGGATCTTCCGAGATAGAAATCGGTTCGTCGTTTCTTTGCGATTTCACGAACAATATAGCTGGTAATCGAGTGATCTGTCGATGAACGGGTAAACGTTATCGTGCGCGTGATTAAGAGGTTCGACATTGTAAATGAAAGTGTCGCAGCACCGTGTGTACAGTGTACGTGATACGAGTCTCAAACTCGATCCGTTTTAGTGCGATAGAATTATTCGTTTCGAGGATTTGGCCACATTAGGTTAGAGAAACACCGAAATACCGTCCGGTTAATCGGGGAAGTGTCGTTCGTAACAACTGTTGGTTTGCGAGAAGTGGCAAAAGTATATAATTCTCGAACGAAAAAAAAAGGGGAGTGTGAATAAACCAACGAGATTCTCGAAATCGTGTGTCTAGCTGTGTGTACCAGCCGGAGCTGTCATAAATGTACACATTCTATATAGATTGCACGATCTATGCTCGGTTAGTGGGCCGATTTACTGGAGACAAGTGATCGTGTCTGACGCGCGGCAGTGAATTGACATTAATCATCGTCGCGCGGTGTTGTGCACCCATCGACCATCTAAAGAACTTAGTGCCGCATTTCTATCCGACAGCGAGTTTCCTCACGCAGCAGTTTAAGCACCGAAGATTCGAGTTTTTCATTTTGCCAGGTGGTCCTTACCCTTACTACCACCGAAACGCATTTTTTATGTTCTATTCTTTTTTCTGCTATCACTCGTTGTGCGCGAAAAGAGTTACATGTTTACGAACGGTGTCATATGCGACAAAGACGCAGAATGTGTGCTTGATAACGTATCTGCATTATTCTATTTGACGTGTATCCAATCGCATGGACGTCGATAAGATCATGTGTATTCTAAGTACACCATTTTCTTTTTTTTTTTAGTCTGTGCCTTTTCTCCTGTCGCTCTTTCAGTTGATAAGTTTTTTTTGGCTTCCCAAAGGATTCGATATTTCAGATATTGCTGACGTTTCACGGGCGGTGACAAGTAGTCGGAGCCCGTAACTATTGTGGCGCATCGCTTACTCCCTTTATTCGTCTCTCTTCCTCTCTCTCTCTTGCTACGTTTACCAGAAGGAGAGAGAAAGAATGTGAACGGGCGGGTGAGAAAGCGAGAAAAAGATAGAACGAGGAACGAGTGAAAGAAGGAAAGCTTGTGAACGAATAAACTGAATGAGAAAGAGAGAGTATATTTTAACAGAGTAACGGAATGAAAGAAAAGAGGACAGAGTTACCGAGCGAGTAGAAGAGAGGAAGAGTACCATATACGTATGCGACGAAGAAAGAGAATGACAGAATTCGCGCGCGCGTACAGAGTACTCTATCCGTCCTTATCGGTTTCTTCCTTTCGCAGTCTTTATGCACCGCTTTAACGGTTTCTCGTGATTTTTCGATAATGCCATTTCGCCGAAGGTTATGAGGTATTGGTTACATAGATAACTTTCGGGTGAGTTTTTTCGCAATATGAAACTTCGATGCAGCTTTGCTTTGTCGTAAGTGTGCGTAAGGTTGGCGATTGTGTGTGTACGTCGTTGCTTTTCATTCGGTCTCATCCTTACGAGCGTTTTTACTTTACCGGCTATTATTGAATATTACCAAAGGGCCAGGATTGTTATCGCTTAAAATCCTCCTGATTTATGCATTTCTCGAGGTTTCGAGATGCCTCGTGTCCAAAAATGCAAAAAAACCGGTTATAAAATTCAAGATGTGTGATTATTGACCTCTTGGAAGAATATTTTTGAAGGATACACATGGTTTAAACGATTGTGTTTGTGTCAACATAGGTGTACTGTGATAACATGGATAAAATCATTTGAATCAGGTGTATCCTTTAGAGGCATTCTTTTTAAAAGCCAATGAGCATAAATATTGGCATAGAACAATTCTTGGAATAATTATTATAATTCTTGCATATATTATCAAGTTTATCATATATCAAAAAGAATATAAGCTTTTGAGTCTATACTATAGAACTAGCGAGAAGATCTGTTGGATAGAATGAAGGATCTATTGAATTGCTACGCGATTGGGAGCAGCACATGAAAGACTCGAGTAGTCAAAACTGCATACCTCTCTATCTTACCTCCCAAAACAAGGTTTGCTCGACTCGTTTGGTTATGTTATATGTGGAAAGAGAATGCAAAAGAAGAATGCTTTCTCCGGTTTACAAATGATCCCTTCTATGCTATTCTAGATCTACATCCAGCATTTCTAAGAACTCTGCAGATTCTGATGGAATGAACTTTTGTATTATTTTCGTTTTCAATAATGTTACTTTTATCTTTTTTATTTTTTAATCATTTTAAATCAGTGTTCAAAGTTAGCTCCGCGAGCTTTGAATTACGACGAATTTACGACACGCGCATCACGTGGCCCCGTGCATTACTTGAATTCGTTTCCATTGACTGAAAAAAAGATATGAGAAAGTTTAATGCGATTTAAACATATATTAACTTGTTAATCGTATCCAAATGGGCGCAGTTTGAACCTGTTTTCGACCTGGTTGCCCCAAGTTACGCGATTCCGTGATCGCCTTGAAGTTGCTGCGATTAGTCACTGTATTACCGATTCTCACTATATTCGTTCATTTCTTGTTAAAACGGGCTTACATTATCACTTAGACGGTCTGAGTTTTATCAGCCTGTAGTATTATCGCAAAGCAACGTTAAACTGTTGGATTCTCTATGACTCGCTATGCGAACTAATTGAATAATGTAATTAACAGGAACCCTGTTCTAATGGGTTAAATAGTATTCGTTACTTTTTTTTCAGTTGGTTTTACATACAGTACTTTTCATATGTGAGTTACAGAATTTAATACGTCAAGCAGACAATGTAATTTTTGCACTCACCATTTATCAAATCCAATGCTTATTTTTATTTCGTTAAGATAAATAATCATTCGTACCCCTTGTAAACTGGCAATCAAATATGATTTAAGCATGGCTACTTCATTTTATTTGTCATTTTTTTTTTTTTTTTTTTAATATACCTAGAAATATATATGTTAAGTTTTCCCGTTACAAAATATGCTGTTACTGTTAATAAATCATTGTAAGAATTGTTACCGTATCGTAACATATGCTTTAAAATATACTCTTCTATATATTTGATACTATTTACTTTATTATATTTTCTGTAGGTTATAAAACGAAGGTAGCAATTTTTGTTTGCATAGGTTAGTGTCATTCGTTAATTTCCATACGAATAAAACGTATATATCGAAATACTTACAGTTCACGAAAACAATTCATAATTCTTTATGCATGCTTATCAATCCATTATATTTGAGTTAAAACATTTAGTTAAATGTTGATTGCTATGTACGTAAATCAGAGCCTTATCTATTATGCATGGAGTTTCAGTATAAATAGACGTTTATCTTCCGATTTGGAGATTTAAACGAAAAATGCAAAGTGTGAACTATTTAATATTCTTTGCATAAATATTCATGTATTTTTTTAATATTAGTTTTCATAAGTAACTTTTTTAAATCAGATAATATTATTTAATTGTAGTAAGAATTTAAGCATTTCTGCAAAAACTAACAATCTTTCTTGTACTTAGGTGATCATGGCTAATCGGGGTACAGCCCAGAGGCCAAATGGTTCGACTCAAGGGAAGATTTGTCAGTTTAAGCTGGTGCTGCTTGGAGAATCTGCAGTTGGAAAGTCAAGCCTTGTTTTGAGGTTTGTTAAAGGACAGTTCCATGAGTATCAAGAAAGTACTATTGGAGGTAAGAAATCTTGCTCTAAGATATGGTTGTGGTCTCCAAAGGGTTAATCTAATATACATTCAAATAATTTTGTATTTGAAATTGTTTTATTCTTATGTTAATCTTTGTAGCTGCATTTTTAACACAAACAGTATGTTTGGATGACACAACTGTCAAATTTGAGATTTGGGACACAGCAGGACAGGAGCGTTATCACAGTCTTGCACCAATGTATTATCGAGGTGCACAGGCTGCTATTGTTGTGTATGATATAACAAATCAGGTAAGTAAACATTATGGAAACCGAATATATATCTTTTTTTTAATTGGGGAATTTCTGAATTGAAACTACAGGACACATTTGTACGTGCCCAAACGTGGGTGAAGGAATTGCAACGACAAGCCAGTCCAAGTATAGTTATAGCATTAGCTGGGAATAAAGCGGATCTTGCTAATAAAAGAGTTGTAGAATTTGATGAAGCTCAATCATACGCGGATGAAAATGGTCTTCTTTTTATGGAAACTTCAGCAAAAACAGCAATGAATGTTAATGATATATTCCTGGCAATCGGTAAGATAATTCTTTATCATTAGCGCTTCGTATATGACGATTTATGGAAGACTTGCCCCCAGGTTTAGTTAACCATCTTTCTTGTAAGACGAGTTTCATTCAATTAAATAATAATAATTGAAAATGTGTCTTCTGTAGTGCTGTTAGCAAACATACCTCTACTTTGTAAAAGATCTAATAATTTTTTAATATTTATTGAGATAATATGTGTTCATATCATATTTTCTATAGTATATGTAACATGATAACAGATGCTATTTCATAACCAGATGTTCCTTTGACATTGCCCAGATAAAACCACAGATATAATTGTTTTTGAAATTTTCACGATTTATACAATCTTTTTAAGAGAATCTCTTAATGGATGTTAATAAATATATATAAAAATTGATAACATAAAATGTGTTTTTCGATCCGTTACAGCTAAGAAACTTCCAAAGAACGAGCAATCGGGAAGCGCAAGTACAAGTGGGCAAGGTCGTCGATTAGTCGAGACAGAAGGACAAAAGGCAGCAACTGGCAATTGTTGCAAGTGATTATCCAAATCTGTACGTGTCAAATATTACGTTGGTATATATTTTTATATTAGTTAAAATTTGTCACGTTTGTGATCAACAATGGTGGGAAACATAATAACATTTAAGGAGTCACAAAATAATTGATATACGCAGATATGTTATGAGTCTAACGTTCAGTATAATAATACATTATGTCTACGTATTTTTATAATGCAACAATGTATAAGGAGAAGGGACCGATGGTCTTGCAATGACAACAGATTTGATATTAAGTAGGTTACAAATTTGCAATTCATGGCTATTTCATGCAAAATTTTGTATTAGTATTATGAAATATCTGAGTAGATATTGCTGTAGTATATTTCTTGTTACGTTTAATATTTTTATTGCATGTACTCCTGATTTATTTCGATCATTATATTTATTAAATAAGTGAACAAAGGACACGCGAATATCAAAAGTTGGATCAGTGTTCTTTTTTAAAATCTATATTTGATGTATAAAATAATTGATACTTCAGAGGGAAAAAAGAATTATGCATAAACAAATTTTTTTTATAAATATATACTGCGAATTTATGTTCGACGTTACCAGAAAAAAAAAGGATTTTTTTCACTAATTAATGAAATTTCTTATATAAACGAAATATAAACACGTTTGTCTATTTGCAAATTTGTTTACAGATTTGTTTTTGCACAGTCTTATAATGAATTTATCAATTCCCAATGTTTTGGCATTTAATAGAGTTCTTTTTTCAAAGAAAATAATAATTATTTATATAAGACTTTCCTTGGATAATTATTGTATTTCACATAGCTTGGACTAACTATCGCAGTAAATAATAATGCACAGTCTAAGGATTTTATATTTTCTTTGTAAACCTTTAATATGACTCTTTATTCTATACTTTTCTTTGATCACTTGTGTGATTGTTGCAAAATGTTTGTCATACATCTACAGTTGTATTTGTAGCAAATACCTTCTCTGTTTTATATGTTATATGTTGAAATTTGCAGGATTCTGCCGCGAGGTAGTGATGCTTGTATTGTGCTTACAAATATTATAACTCTTCTTACTACTTTTATTTTTTTTTAATTTTCATTCAATTAATATCTACATAACACTTATTTTTAAAATATGAATTATACAGTTCTATATTCAATGCAAGAGAGTAAACAATCCTTGTAATATATTCACAACCTTGTTACTGTAAATCTTAAAGTGACATTAAAGGAAACGTTAATTTCTTACTCAACAGTTGAGTCTATTAATTCAATGAATGCAGCTGTAAATACTTCGACAAACACCTTTATCTGAACAGTGTATAATTTAATATAAATATATTTCGTACATTTTTTCATTATTTTATACATTTCACCTTTTGCAGTTGTTATTAATATTCTATTAGTGCTACTCGTTGTTTAAAAGCATTACTTTTAGATAGTACATTTCGTAAATATTCCCATGTTGCAGAGTAGTTTTGCATTTCTATTGGTTTATAGTTAGAGGTTAATTAAAATCGAAATGTACAAACATGCTTTTCGTTACACTTGTTTATTTTGTATTTAAACGTAAGCGCTGAGGTTTAAACAAACTATTGTTTACAAGACATATTTGAATGTAATGTACAATTAGTTACCACAGGTTTTCGAATGACAAAGGATAATTAAACGATACAAGTTCCTATTATTATACTGAAATATAAAAGTGTTGTCTCTTTTTACAAATGCATATTAGTTTTGTTTCAAACGCACCTTTAGGTAAGTCAACAGTCTCTATTGTCTAAGTGTGATCACGAGTATTGTGATTAAAACATTTCGTTAAGCAGTATTTTATATATACGTATATATATATATATCGTGTATATATGTCATTATAACATCAATTTTTCACTAATTTAACACTATGAAATTATTAAAGTTGTAACAGTCGATACATGTCAAATTGGGAACTAAAATCAAATAAGTAATTATCACATTCAATACAATTTCTTTAATAGGTTTCAAATAGGCGGGTATTTGTACACGAGATAACTTTAAATAAAGTTTTTTATCGAAGTAATAAAAGATTATTTTCGAAAAGTCACGAAGTAATTTAAACGAAATTACTGTATTGCGTTAAGTTAATTTTGTACTGAAAATATAATTCTTTGATTTAAAATTATGACTTTAATACTGTATAATTGTACATATCGAATAAAAGACGCGTATTATACGTTTTTCATTTTTATTTCTCGATAAGAACACATAGTTAAAAGTTTGAGATATTGGTTACAGTTGATGTCATCATGTAAATTTGTAGAATATAATGTGCCTTGTTCTGCAACGGGTACTATATACGTTAATTAAAAGAAAATATATCATTATTGTTTTTTTCGATACATTTTATTAACGAAGCATTGTAGGAGACACACTCTACTTTTTGTTTACAGATATGTACCATAATCAACAAATATAAGTACACAATGAGTGTGTCCACAATGAATTTGAATGGAATATGAAACAATGGGAAAATGCCACTATATTGGAATGGGAGGTAAACTGTGCAGGACGAACATTTTGCCTGAGTGATTAACTAAAAAAAAAATGCGTGTATCACGTTGCATTCGACGATATATTATCTATTTTGAGTATCAGATCTATCGAAATGAGAGAAAGAAAGGGAGAGAGTGAGACATTATGGTGAAGCTCCCATTTGTAATTCTAGTAGTAATGGGCGATGTTCGTTATAAATATATATATATAAATATATAAATACGATTATACTATAAATCATATACAATAAATATGATTTATATAATAAGTAATGTTAATGGTAATAAGTAATAATGATAATATTAATGGTAAATAATAATAACACGATAAATAATAATAACGTTAATATTAGTAACTATAATATACATTTAAAATATACAATGTACGATGAACTTTTGGCACGCGAAACGTCTTGTAAGATAGTAGGCCATTCCTGCTGCTATAATTACCTATGTATTTACTTTCTTAGTTTGTAAACATGTATAACAAATTCTTGCTCCGAAATATATTGTATATTAATTTTATTCGATAATTCACGATAAATTATAGATAATTACACAAGAAGAAAAAAAATAATAAACTTGTGAATATTACTAACGATTTCGTCGCATTCATACACAGTTATTTATCATTTTATAAATAAGGTCTGTTGTTGCAATGAAAGGAGCAGTTAAATCTGAATAAAATAGTAGCTTTACAAAATGATAGCTTAATTTAAGTGCATTGTTCGAATTCATTTATTCGATCTAATCTTAATTTGTTTGAAACATTCTATAATGTTAAATGTTTATTTCCACGCTGTAATTTAAGCGGAAGTACGTGGAATAAATGATCCAAAAATACGTTCCAATTATTGAATCTTTACTTCTTTTCATAATGTAAATAGTGTTATTATTAAGATGGTTCTTTTGTAACTGTACTAGTCAAAACAAAACTCAAATACAGAAAGTATTGATAACGATATATTAAAATTCATTAGTAGAAGTTAAAATGAGCAAATAATTAAAATATCGGTAATTGAACGACAGTGGCGCCATCGGTGGCAAAACGCCCAAATGTGTTCTCGAATAGTTCTTATTTTTAAACGCTAGATGGCGACATTTGTATGCTTTCATAAAATAATAAAAAATTTGAAAGTTAAAAAATGGTTTTCATTCAAATTTTAATATCACGTTACTGGTCCACTTATTTGTTATTGCATATAATAATAAAAAAAACGTTAACATGCAAGTGGCGCCAACTAGCAGTCAGAAATAGAACTAATTTCGGAGTTTGGTCAGCGCCTCTCTCGGGAAAACGCTCAAGTTTGTCCTCGAATAGTTCCTTTGTTTAGCGTTAGATGGCGCCATTTGTATGTTTATAAAAAATTTTTTTTTATTATTAACAAATAAGTTAGCCAGCAATGTGGCATTAAAATTTGAATGAAAATCATTTTTTTAACCCTTAAATTATTTTTCTTTTAAATAAAAATCAAATGGCGCCATCTAGCGTTTAAAACAGGAACTATTCGAGAACAAACTTAGGCGTTGTGCCACCAATGGCGCCACTGTCAATCAATTACCGGCATTTTAATTATTTGCTTATTGTAACTTCTACTAATGAATTTTAATCTCCCAGTGTTTGTTTTATGACTACAAGTTTATTATTAAACGGAATAAAATAGATTATATAAGTATTTTTTTACTTTTTCTGTAATGTCGATAATTTTAGTTCCACCTTCTCACCGCTAGGTGGTTATAGCGTCGCTTGCCACGATTTTGACCATTCCCCTAACAAAACAATATTGTTTACATTCTCAGATAATTTATTTGTAAAAATGTCATCAGTTAATGACACAGACGATAAAGGATTAGAAGATCCTATTAGATGCATATTTTTTTCAGAATTTCATCATATAGTGGGTCCAAAAATTACTTGTCAGGTTAATAAAAATTGGAAACGATCTATTTGATCTATCAAGGGGTGAAATGTAAATACAACTCAATTATTTTTCAGGTACCAGATAATTTTATTTCAAAGGATATCTTTGATAATGTCAGTGTTTACATTATACCAAAGGCACAATTACAACGTAGCACTATAACAGTGTAGTTATAGTGTTCTGTGGTCCATAAACTGAAACAAAAATAAATAACAAAAACTCTAAATATCATTGTTATTCTCGCATAAATCACTTGTATAGAGTATTATTAGTTTATTTATATTCGAATCTAATAAAAAAATATGTTTATCAAAGGTTTCAACAAGGACTTCGTATATATAAAGAATCAAAGAATGAATTTTAGTAACCTATCAATATTGTCCCTTATCTGTCTCCTAAGTTAAATAATTTTTAAATTTTATTGATTATGATAGAATAATAAAATATAATTTAACAGTATTTCTTGTTTTCTTGTTTTACCATCTATGCATCTGTAGACATAGCAAAATACAGTACGTTATGCGTCAATTCGAGCGATTGACCTGTTAGGTATTGTTTCGTATAAGTTTATGTAATAATTAAAGTAACACAAAATATACGCGACTTCTAACAATGACCTCACTACTAAGGGTCTGCAGTTTGATCTCAAGAAAAAGGTGTTTTCAAGAATTTGCATCACAAAGTCGTCCTATTACGTATTTTACACGTATCCCCAGTAATATTAAGGTTAGAATATTTTCGTAGAAAAACAATGAATCTATACGAAAATAATAAAAAAACTTCTAGCATAAATTATTCATCTGTTTTTAGAAATTCACATCAGTTTTACAAGTGAAATACTTTTCAGCAGAAAATGATATGAAATTGGAAAAAAAATTAGTGTATACAGGAAGTTTGTCACATCATTTTCGTAATATTAAAGTATTTTCCTTCTTCACATCGTTTGGAAGCTTCGTGTTTCAACCAATACTTTATCAAAAAGCTCTCGAAGATGATAGTATGTTAGCATTTGTGGGAATAATTGGAGTGATTAACTTCTTTGCCATAGGTACTCCGGTATTAATACACTTAATAGCAAAAAAATATGTTACCGATTTATACTATTTTCCTCTTGAAGATAAGTACCTTGCTCTAAGGTATTCCTTTTTTCTTCGCAAGAAAGAGGTACCTATAAACATTTTTTCTAATTCATTCTCTATTTCTATTAGACAATTTATTTCACTGCAAACCTATGATTATATCTTGATTATTTCAGATTCCCTTTATGGTACACGACGTGCACGTTCCCGATGTATGTGGTATGTTCACAACGTGCTTTATAAAAGGAAATCCACTCTTCTTTAATGAAGCAAATTTTAAAGATGCCAGTCATTATTATAATATCATGGGATTCTATAAACCAATAGATTTTAAATTGGACACTAATGTAAATGTAAATAAAATTAAAACACTAAAAGAGGATCACGGTCCACTAAAAATTGAAAATAAACAGTAAGGGTAATTTGAAATTCGAAGCAGTTTCATTTATTACACAACTTCTTAGTCTAAAATTTGTATACATTGTTTAAAAGTCTATTACGAGTTCCTAGGTAGAAAATATATACAATACATTATTATATAGACATTGCATACTGTGAAATACAGTATCAACTTATTAACATGGAAATTCGTAACTCCTAATTGATGCGTGTGTAAGGAGTATTACAAATCTCCGGTCGACGTTCATAATTTTTTTGTCTTCAAATGTACAATTTGGGAATAAAATATGCTATGAACAATTTTGACAAGTTAACAAAAATATAAATACTCTAAAGTAACCCAATTAGAGAGTCAAATTGTCTCTTAAATACAGCCTCTTCTAGGTGTAGTAATAGTTTTAAGAATGACACAACGTAATCTGATAATCATCCAAGACTGGCAGATACGTTATTATAGAGATCACAGATTATAGTCGATACCTTCGAACAATTTCAAAGGTATGAGCAAAAGAGTTATGTCAAGTCAATTGTGCAATCACTGTACACTAAGCTGGAAGTAAGTCAAAATCATCCGAAACATGCACCATAGGAACATGAACGTCTTCTATCTGAGGTGTCGCTTTAAATTCACATAGTCCAACTTCTTTTAATTTCCATTCCCAATCCATTCTCTGCACAGCGTGCAACGACTCAGCTTCGTTGTGATGTCTAAGCAACATCGCTTCCTAAAATAATATTTTCGTTACGTTACATTGTTACTTCGATAATCCTTACTTGAACAGCTATTATTTTTACCTTGATTTTTTCCCATTTATCATCCACATCTTGCAACCAACTCAAAAATAATCGTCCGTTATATCGACTCCTCGCGTTTCTGTCTTTTTCTTCTTGTTCCGGGGTAATAACATTATACACCTCTTCGTCTTTTAATATGGTACAAACAGAGAAGGGTAAAGCTTGGTTAGCAAGGGCCCTAGCAGCTCTACCGTGCACTCTAAGGATTTCCTGTTCCACTGACAAAACTAATTTCTCTTTTTCAACGACATGCTGCATTCTCAGACGGTATCTCTCTTTTTCTTGTTCAACGTACAAGTCCTTCATAGCGCCTTGCAATCCAACCGGAGGATTGACGTTTGGCTCTTTGTTCGCATTTCCGGCTAATACGTATGTACAACGATTCATTAAATAATCTTTGAATCCCTGAGGTGGTTTCGGTTGTACTGGAAAAAGGCCCTTTCTTCTTCTTTCGATCTAAAACGACAAAGATATTATCTCCCAAAGATATATTCCGTGAAAAGATTTTCGGAATAATTTCATAAGAAATTAAGACAGCGATGTTAATTCAAATCTAACCTGTTTTCTAATATTGAGGAACAATTGGTAACAGTTAGTGATAGGTTGATCGTGTGGATGAACTTCCGGACCCGCGTTAGTTGCTTCGGATGATTCATTAGAAGCAGCCGTAGCAGCTTGCGTTTCTTTATTAGGTTTCATTTTTCTTTTCCTGGGGTGAAGTTCAACGGGTGGTGCTGGAGTACCCACGTTCGACGTCGTCGATGAGGTAGTCGTCGAAGTATTTTCCGAATTTTCCGCATTGCTATCTTTCTGACTCTTACCGCTAGTTTCGGTATTTTTCTCCGACTTTTCTACGATGACATTTGTCTTCGAAGTGGCGCTATTACTCGCAGCCTCGGTCGCGCTGGTTTTATTGGATTCGGAGACAGTGGTTTCAGGCGTGGGCGAGTGATGTCGTTGTTGCGGTGACGAGTTATTCGAGCGATCCGTTGAAGTAGCCGCTGGTAGCGGAGATGAATTCGAATAGTTTCCATTACCTCCAGAGGTAGCGGTTTCCTTCAACGACGTCGAGCCATTGCCGCCATTGCCAGATCTATGCGAGCTTCTGAGTACCCTCTGATGATGCGTCGATCTCTCTTCCCCGTGCAAAGCACCACTAAAATCTTTTTTGTCCTCGCTTTTAGCGCTATTCCCACTTTCCGTAGGACTCGTCGTGCCACTGGCAGATTGACTTTGATCTTTATCCGTTGAGTCGTTGCTATTAGAACTCGCGACTACGTAGGGTAGCTGGTGACTTCTATTCGACGTGTTTTTTCCATTTCTATTCCCCTGCTCTTGTTCGGACGTGGTACTTTGCGGAATAACTATTTTCAAAGGTGGCACTTTGGGAGCTGAACTGGAATCCGAACCTTTCGATCGATCATCTTCGCCATCGGATTCAGGAGGTGCTGGTGTAGTTGTTTTTGTGCTTGTCGCCGAACCAGAAGGATTCGAAGGTTTCGGACTACTCGCCATCGAGGTACTCGGACTCTTCCTGTCGGCGCTGATCGAGGTTGTGTTTTGATTACTTTTACCGGAGGTCGCGCCAGCTCCTTGTTTACCCGATTTTGCACACTGCAACAAAACACGCTCGTCAGATACTAATTGCTTAATTAATCAAGTTTAACCTAGTCTTGGATACGTTTCGAATTGATCAAAAAATCTACTTACTTTTTCTCCCGTGCTGGTAGCATTTCTTCCGGTACTTTGCCTTCCAGTAGTCGCGCCTTTGGAACTCTCCTTCGCAGGCTCTGTATCCTTTCGTTTCTTCCGACGATTCTCTTCGTCCTGCTCGTCGGTATTGTCGCTCTCAAATGCGCGTTTGGAAGAAGGCGAGGCCGAAACCGTAGGAGCATCGTCGGTAGCGATCGACGTCGTTGTTGTTTCGCCAGAGGATGTCGTCGAACCGCTCCCGCCACTGGACGCATTGTTACCGCAACTTTGACCTCCTTGACCGCTGCTAGACTTGCCGCCGTCTTTATCCTTATCAGGATTAGGATTTGGCGAAGAACTCGAACCTCTTACAGGCGTCGGTTCCTTCGAACTTTTGAACTCGTACACATCGCCACTGTCCGTGACGGATGACGATGTGTTCCCAGGGCCGCTCGAGCCCGAGGCGGCATTCACGCTCCCCGACGAGGTGTTCGACGACGCTTTCGACGAACTTTCCATTTGACTTTGATTCTGGAAACGTTCCTTTCGATTAGAAAATTAACGATAACAACAATAATTATTTTCGAGAGAATTATATACTCTCGAAAGGCATCCTAGAATGAATTTTACAGAAACTTTGTTATGCATGTATGTTGCGTTACCACGTTGTACTGTTATAACAACAACCTCTAAGAGATGTGGTTGACCGTTTATATAATATTTAATATGTTCCGCGAATAAAAGTCTTAAAGAGATTACACTTGAAATATATACTATGGTATATTCAAAAAAGTGCACCGTAATACAAATTTCCTTTGAATGAAAGTTATTCTTTAAAACTCCGGCTTTATTTGTCTCAGTTGCAACCGACCAAGTATGCAAAATTCCAAGTATAGCAATTACCAAAGCACATACAAGCTTTACGCGGGTGTTATGTTCTTATATTGTCACATATCGTTACGTGCTTGTAGATTACGTATGCCACTTTATCGTTCATGTTCTACACAACAATCGCGGTATACTGCCTCGCGATTCACCGCGTTACCTTTTTAAAACGTCGCTCTCGAAAGTGTACCTACATTATATCTAGACTGGCAACAGAGTCGACTTTCACATTTTCTCAAAATGCAAAAGGAATTCAAGTAAAATTTTTCTCGACGTACATTTGTATACTAAAAATAAATCTGTTAAACTACGTTCGCGTGTCGATCGTGATTCCTTAATTGCTGCCGTGGCTGTGCTTCGATTGAAATTTAATTAACACGTTCGAGGCGAGCGTTCTCATAGGCAAATCGACGACTCGCGATTCGGAAGTTGAACGAATGTATTTCCATAGAAACGAAGCCTTTCCATCGACGTCGAGTACACGGTGGAAACCTCGATTATCAAGTCGAGTAAAACGCTATCAGCGTCGTCAGCCGAGTTTCTCTTTCTTGGAGCGAATAGTTAGGATTACGAATTTCTTACTTGTCGTACTTGTAACCAATTTATCACGTGCGTAATTGCAATGAAAACGGTTACAAGAATATAGCACTTTGTTATTACTATTATCGTTTCCAGTGCTGTCGCGTTAACGTTATCAATTCTCGAGATTTTTTATTTTGCTACATTCAAGGCTTCAAGTTCCGCAAGCTTGAATACAATTTAGCATGTTAGGGAGGGCCCAAGTGAACTACCTCTTTAACCTGTCCAAGTATAGACGAAGTCACTTTTCAGCCAGGATAATCGAGGTTCCAGCAGAAATGTAAAGGCGCGCGCGCGCGCGCGTGTGTGTGTGTGTACCTGTGCGTTCATGCCGCCCTGACGGGAGTTAGTAGAGCCCCCTCCTTTCTTTTCATCCCTCGCCCCTCGCACCTGGTTGAGCCGAAGCGTCACCCTCGGCGAGCTTCCAGACTGCCCGGTTCCCGATCTATCGACTGTGGAGAACAAAACGCCGGTTAATTGCAAGAACAACGACGGAATGCCAGGGAACGAGTTTCCACGAAACCAGTACTCCTTCGACGCAGAGGGAGGACGGTTCCAAGGAGTCGAGAAGAGGAGAGGTGAGACGAGGTGGGGAGAGAATCGGCCAAGAGAGAAAGAGAGACGAGTGAGCGGGACCACAAGGACGGTAAAGATTTCAAAGGGGGGAAAAACCCGATGGTTGCGATCATCGGGGGTACGGCCGTTAATCACGGGCCCCCTGGAAGAACGAGTTCCTCGAGGAGGGCAGGACGAGGGCAGAGAGTCCCGATCCGCGATCGATTCATTAGTCGCCTTTTACTGGACGATCGCGTTACAGGAAAGCGTGCCATTAAACTCTTTATTCGCTGCTGATCCTCCAGCGATCGGACTAACCGACGTCATTCAGGCGAAAACCGGAAGCGAGCATTCTGACGTCAAAATTTTAGCGAGTTTCAATGGTAAATCGCCGGGACTTATATTTATATATATGCGTAAGAGGATCGGTCTGAGATCAAATAAAATGGTAAATCCTTAAGTAGAGTAAAATGAATACAATTTGTACAGTCGTTTTTATTTCATACATGTCTGGTTTTGTTTCAGTGAAAACTCCACTAAGGCAGATTCGGCGACGAGCAATAACGCGGCTCGCGGTAATTTCAGGAAATGATTGTTTCGAGAGATTCCAGGGCACCCAGCTGTACTGGATCAATATACATATAATTGAATCTACGAGTTAACGCGACGTCACCGTAATTTTGGAGTCTGGATCAATACAATGTGGATTCCAGGACGATTTTTCGTTTAATGTGCATTCGTATTACGATCTCTTTCGCTTAGACATTGATCGTACGCTGCTCCTGCTCCTGCTCCTCCTCCTCCTCCTCCTCCTCCTTCTCCTTCTCCTCCCTCTTTCAAGGAAGAGGGAATTGTGCCAATGAAACTTGGCGCTTGCGAATAGCGTATCCGAAAATACATCAACCGCTGGTCAATGAATTTGCGGCTGTTAGCCGCTGTTACAGGGCATTAACAATTCACGGAGATCAAGCGTTTCTCCATATACGGTAGCAATGTTTTTCTTTAACCTTAGGAAGAATCTATTAAAAATGTATTATCTGCAATTGATGTAATCGACAAAAGTAAATATGATGCAACACGAAAACAAGTTTGAAATTAATTATATTGCTTTCGACGCGTATCTGAAACAAAGTTGGCTATTTACACAGCAATTGTTAGATAAAGCAATCGACTTGAGAAAAACTTGAATTCATTCGGAGGTCGATCTAGGGTCGACGAGCGCGTTTGAAAAAAATATTACGTTTATCTGCTTCGGCTTATCGTATCTAAAAGAAGATAACAAAATTTGGTGCAACGTAAATACGTAATTAGCAGCACTTGTAACCGAACAATGAAAAATAAAATGCGAGAAATATTTTCCGTGCTAAGCGAGTAATGCAAACACACGTAGCGTAATGCTATCTGTAGAAAGAGAGTACATATTTGCGGAACATTCTTACCGCGAAATGACGATACGTAAATATCACGGTGCATTCATGTATACATACATACGTGCTTCTGCGAAACGCAACGTATATTATTTCGTAGCATATACGTCTGCCCTCCTCCTACTTCCTGCGCGAGAGATGTTTCTGTATTCGAGCTCGAGTAACCGATGCGTTAAAATCTATCGAACACGGTGATTTATCTGCTTCCCCCTTCGCCCTTCCTTCTCATCCGCTAATCAGCACAAAGATAACCGCTTTTTTTTTTCACGTTAAGTTACACGAATAATCATCCAACGAATGTTTATACCTCGCGGCTAACAGCCGAAATCTGTGGAAATTTATTATTTTAAACAACAACGAATAATATTAATTAAACGTCACGGTCTATGCACGTTCCAAGTTTCAAAAATTTTAATGCGACATAGTAAAAATATTCTAAGCACAATAATCGGAATACCGATACGAACGTTCGACGAATCAAATATTGATCGTCGATAAGATAATCGAAAAGGTATTTTCAGAACGTAGAGGAGGTCTCCGTCGTTGGAATACGAATCTAAGCGGTGGTTCTCTTCAGTTTTTCGTTCCTGACCTTTCCGAACGCTGGAGGACACCGGAGTCTACGACTGGCCAGAAAAGATACAGCATTCTTTGCAACCGATAACGTCATACGTTTTATCGGATACTGTTTGCGAGAAAAGTTCATTATCTCGTCGCGTTTCACGATAAAGATAATTCTGCGACAGATGTCGAACTGACATACGTCGGAATCCTAACACTTTCGACCCATTATTTTTCTATTTAGCTTTTAATCGTCTCTCACTTTTTAATTGATAAATAGGCGAGCAATCGGTAACGCGCGCGAGTGTCGAATAAAAGAAATTAATGGTGGCTTACCGTAAACGTTAAACTTTGTTCGTTCTCTATATAAAACCGAACGTGGAAGAAACTGCAGACACCGGGCATCAATGATGTCACTGTTGCGAAATAAAAGCTACATATGCGCAATCGAAGTAAACTTTGCGACTGATAACGTTCCGTGATGGTCGAACTGAAGTGTACTAACTGAAGTATGCCAACCAAAGTACCGATTTAAATGTAGCCATCGATCAGCACACAATGACGAAACATGTCACAACGGGAATCAAGGTCAGGCCAGACGTTACTTTGTAAAGTGTCGCAGTTTCCTCCTACCAGCCGTCAATTTATATTGCGAAAGATTAGCATATCGCGCGAGCTAAAACTTCAAAAGATTTTAGCTACATCGAAGGAGAGCACGAGACACGTTTGTATCGTGTTTCCAACGTGTTCCGCGAAATACGCGATACATAGCGCGTAACCGGTTTCGACCTCGCTACATGCACGTTTAATTGTCACCGTTAAGCAGTCCCGAGCCTTCGACTTAATCCCATTAACCGTTAATGAATTCCTCTGGAAAACATTGTCGCTACTTTCTGCTTGCACGCTTTTCATCGTCCATCGGTAACGAAATCGTAATGTTACCGACGAGGACACCTCCATATGCATTTTACCACTTTACCGACATAGTAGCCTAATTTCTTTTTTCCACGAATACCAAAACGTCATTGTTATCGTTGTACGAGTAACGAAATGTTATATACATATTGATCAGAAAACGATTAATGGTCCATTGTGTCTTCATACATTCATGTGTATTAATGGAACGAATACTTTAAACATGAATTTTGGAACTCCCCTTCGACTGAGGCCACGAGTAGACGTATGTCTGCAACAGTTACTCTTAATCATTGTGTTGTGGCACGCTACCGTCCCGTGAAGGACACTGTGCTACACTGTGTCATGAATGTTTGACAACAGGTGAGACTCCAACTCTTGATGGCTTTAAAATTGTTAAGATTTTCTACGAAGATCACACAATGGATAGGCCGAAATTGTTACCATTGTCAAACATACTACAGCAAAAGAACTTTACAAACGAGCATGCAAGGTTAAGATTCGTGCCATTTCTAGAGCATACAGTGATACATGATCGATGATGTAAAAATTGGTCGTGATGGAAAAAAAGCCGAGGGTTACTGGTTGGTAAAGTGTTAAGTATCTTCTTGAAAACCATAAGTTTAAAGAGATTAAAAGCCGCTGGCTCGCAGGATCGCGAACGATCAGGGCAAGCTTGTTAGAAAATGGTGCGCCGTTGCAGCAACTGCAACATAGTAGAACCCTTTCGGCGGTGCGATCACCCTAGTGGTGTCGATGGACGCAGCCCGCGAGCGCAAACGTGTCCAATGTACTTGCCAGTCAGCGTGCTCTCTCTCTCTCTCTCTCTCTCTCTCTCTCTCTCTCTCTCTCTCTC